TTTTAAATATTGTTATTTTTTTATTTTTCTTTAACATTTATTCATTTTTGAGAGACAGAGACAGAGCATGAGTGGGGGAGGGGCGGAGAGAGAGAGGGAGACACGGAATCCGAAGCAGGCCCCAGGCTCTGAGCTGTCAGCCCAGAGCCCGATGCAGGGCTCGAACCCGTAAACTGTGAGATCGTGACTGGAGCCAAAGTCGGACGCTTCACCAGCTGAGCCACCCAGGCGCCCCTAAAATATTATTTAAAAATACTTTTGCAAATATTCCATGAGTATAATTTCATTAAAAAAAGAAGAAGCAAGGAAAGGATTTCACTCCATCCCAGTGTCCTCTTCAGAGACCGCACCTAGGACTTTCGGGTGACAGCAAACCCACACAGACAGACAGGGTTGTGGTTTTGTGTGTTCAGCATTAATGATGTGATGCTACACGTGTTGTCTCAGAGATGCTTTTGAGTCCTTTCATGCTTATCTGCCACAAGGTTTCTGGCCTCAGTATTAGTGAAAGTTGGGGACGGATCTTTCCTTGTGAGGTACCTGTCCTCCATGGCCTCAACCCACTAGATGCCCGTAGCCCTTCCCAGTCGTGATGATCAAAAATGTGTCTCCGGACATGCCAACATCCCTTGGGAGGCAGAGTCAACCCTGGTTGAGAACCACTGGCCCACCCAGTCCTTTCTTTCTACTGGCTCTAGAATATTTTTATTTAACCAGATGGCCACTCAGATCACTTTCAGCTAACTTGACATAGTAAGCCTCAGTCTCCTCATCTGTGAAATGGGTATGGCAACAATGCCTTTCTTACAGGTTTGCCAGGAAGAGTCAGTGAGCTAATGTACCTGACATGCTCAGCAGAGGACTAGGCTTATAGAAAGAGTCCACAGAAATCTAAGTGCTTTTGATTAATCATACCTTTTGAAATGATCATAACTCTGTGACCAGGGCAGGCCTTGTAGCCTCCCTGACCCTCTGTCTCTTCATCTGTACAAAAGGAAATAACTCCCACTTGACCTCACAGAGTTGTCATGAGGATTGAATGAGGTCATAGCCGTGGAGGCACAGAGCCCACACCTCACGCCCACTCTGGGCACTTAAATCCTTTCCTCTCCTTTATTCCTTGACTCGTTCCCGAGAAAGAGGGGCCCGGCACGATTGAAGAGCTTCAGCCTTGCCCGTGGTACCTCCTCCTGGAGCTGGTCCAAGAGCAGGGTGTGGGGAGCAGGGGCATCCGGGGGGCGTGGGGGCAAGCACAGGAGAGCCCCCACACAGCAGGCTGAGCACTGAACTTCTGGAAATGAGAGCAGAGCCAGAACCGTGGGCTGAGATCACGCTGGTGGTTTCGTTGTCTTTCGCTGCCCCGTTTCTCCTTCAGTGTGATTCCTGTCACTAGACAGGGCTGTTTATTTCCCGGTCGTGTGGAGGGCCGGGACTGAGAAGTCGCGTGGTGAATAGCTTAGCCTCCTGAGTCACCAACATGGGTTCATACTCTGGCTCCACCGTGTTCTGACTGTGCCACCTCGGGCAGCAGACTCAATCTCTGGGGGAAAAGGCAAGACCCACACCCACCTCCCAGCACACGGTGAAGATCGCCAGGGGCACGGTCAGCACAGAGCCCAGCACAGGTGGGGGGGTACCCAGAACGGCACCTGCTGCTGTGGGTATTACTGTTGGTCTGCGACCGTTGTCGGTCGGTGGTTTGTGGTCCGTGTGGCTGGGGTGGGGGAGACCGTGACAGGATGGCGGGCTCGGCCTCGCGGTCAGTGAGGTGCCCACCTACCCTGCCCCACACTGCCCGGGAGAACTTTCTGCCCTGGTGGAGGTATTCACTGGCTTCGTGTGACTATCGAGTCCTTGAAACGTGGTTCACGCAACTGGGGACCTACATTTTTTATTTTGTTTCACTTAAAATCATTAATTTTATGTCAGTTAAAGTCTGAGTGGTCACATGTGGCTAGTGGCTACTGTGTTAGACCGTGCGGCCCTAGGCAGATAAGACCCGGGGCCTAATCACCAGCTGTTTGCCAACCTGGCTCGTGGTGCCACCAAGGAGAACCTCAGTGTCAGTGACTTACTCGTTCACAGAGGTGCATTCACGTAGCTGGCCGAGTAACTGCCATCTTTTATTGGCCTCCAGTTACACTGCCTCTCCCTGATGGTCCCAGGCCAAGCGGAAGACCTTGCTGAGAGGTCCCTCTGCATGTCCAGAGGCGCTGCTGCAGGGAGCAGATCAAGGAGACCCTGTGAACCCAAGCAGGCGGGGTCGGAGCTGTGGGAGTCGGTGACGGGGAGAGCGTGTCCTCACAGAGCCCTCCTGGGAGTCGGGCCGGATCGCTCCACCCCCCCTTGCCACTGTGTCCAGTGCAGCCCAAGACAGCCCCCCAGTGATGGTGGCCATGGCCTGCTGTGTTCCAGGCCATTGGGCTTATCCTGAGGCTGAGACTCCAAAGCTTCTAGAGTTTTCTCTCATCAGACCCGCCCAACAACCCAGTGAATAGGTAACTCTATTTCTCCCCATTTACAGGCCCGAAGAGGTCGAGTTGCCCACTCAGGGTCACACGGCCTCGTAGTCTTGGTGCTGGGTCCTGGGTCCCCTGTTTCCTAATCTTGTGCCCAGTGTGGCAAATAAGAAAATGAGTGGACCTCACATAGACGTTAACCTTCCAGTAACGTTTATGGAGACCTGGCCTTATTTCAGACACCGTGAGAGGTATTATAACAGGGGCTCCTTAACTGGGGACTCTTTTGTCTCCTGTGGGGCATTTGGCAGTGTCTGGACACATTTCTTCCCGTGGTTCAAATATCTTATTTGAGGTTTAGCAAAATCATTAAAACAGAAATTATGAAAAAAATAAAAATAAAGAATAAAAATTAAAAAACAAATTATGAAAGGGGAAGAAAAATCACGAATCACACACCATTCAGGCCATGGGAACCTTGTCCAGGAATGGCAGTGGGAACCGGTAAGAATTGGACAGCTTGCCTAAGAAGGCCTGGGGGAGGGGTGCGCCTGGGTGGGTCAGCCGGTTAAGTGTCCGAGTTCGGCTCCGGTCATGATCTCATGGTTCGTGGGTTAGAGCCCCGCATCGGGCTCTGGGCTGATGGCTCAGAGCCTGGAGCCTGCTTCAGATTCTGTGTCTCCCTCGCTCTCTGCCCCTCCCCTTCTCGTGCTCTGTCTCTCTCTCTCTCTCAAAAATGAATAAATGTTAAAAAAAAAATTTTTTTTAAGACTTGGCGGGAAATGAACTCAGGGGGCATGAGATATTCAAACTCCCTTAATATAAAACCGAAGTGTGCCCGGAGACTTTTACCATCACAGCTGGCTGAGGGTTGCTCCTGGCATCTAGCGGGTTGAGCACAAGGATGCTGCAGAATGTCCTGCAAAGGGCGGGGACGACCAGCCCCAGATGACAGTTATCAGCACGTCCCGCCCGCTTTTCCAGTGACTCTCTCTGCTCCGCTTTCCAGGCGGGAACTTGGGTGTTAAAAGAGACAAAATAGCTTGTTCGAACAGCTATAGAGCCACAAGTGCCACAACTAGAACTGCACCCAGGACTCTGCCCCCAGTGCCTGGGCTCTTAACCGCTCAACGGTCCTGCCCCGTAGGCGGGGACTGTTGATCTGAGGGGGACTTGCACGGACGTCAGCAGGTCACCAAACCCCTAAAGCTACCTGCGTCATCGTAGGTGTGTATTTTTCCGAGGCAGGGGGTCAGCCCAGAGCTTTTATCAGTTTCTCAGTGGGTGCCGTGAGCCCCCCCCCGTGCCCCCCCGCCAGGTAGGAGTTCCTCCTAGAGATTCCAACTGACGTTTGTTCGTTGTCTTCCAGGCGATTGCTCCTTTGCTGGAAAACAACCATCCACCGCCAGATCTCTGTGAATTCTTTTGCAAGGTATGGCGTCACTGAAGGAGGGCTGCGTTTGCAGGAGGCCGCCTGCCTCCGAGTGCGTGCTGGGGTCGGCTTGGTGCAATTTGCTGAAAACCCAGGCTTCCCCGACCTGGGTCAGGGCCCCACATGGACCTGGAAGGCAAGCCAGGCAACCTTCTCTCAGAGTTACAGCTCTCTCTCTCTGCCACACAGGTGATCAGGAAGGCCCAGAGTCCAAACCGGTGGGTCGGGGAGGAGCGTCCGGCTTTTCTCTGGACTATCTTTGTAGCTGTCTTGGGAGAAATGTGTAGCAGGTTTTCTGGGTTCCTGACGTCAGAGCTGGTTTATTATTAGCCCCGGCTCCTCTGAGCACCGGCTGGCCCACAGTGGGGCACGGCCACGGGGCTTTTCCTGAACAGGGAAAGCAGGCAGGGGAACGCCAGGTTAGCTGGGGGGAGCCACAGAGCGGGACATCCACTCCCACGGACCCAGTGCCGGGCTCGCAGTGGGATTTACACGGAACACACCCAGGGCGTGTCGGGGACCAATCATCCGTCACTCTGAAAGCACACTTCAGTAGTCCGGGGACTGAACCAGCATGCGATCCTGTTTTGTTCTTTGCTATATGATTTTTTTTTTTTTTTTTTTATGTAACGAGTTGATGTCTTTGGAGAGATGCAGGGCCTAGGTTTGCTGCTTCCCCGGCGCTCCCCAGTCTTGCACCTGCTGACTCACCCTCCACGTGCTCCCTCCCTCCCTTGCTTCTTCCACAGCCGCATGGTGTCCTCAGGGGGCGTGGACTGTGTCCACCAGTGAGCCGAGCACGCGGCATGGCCAAGCGGGCACCTGGGAGGCTCAGTGGTTTCTGGAGGGAAGGGGATGGAAAACACACTCTCTCTGTGTGCTTGAGAGAGACAGGATTGCCTTATGCTCTCTGGCCTCATCTCTCCGTCAGGAGACCTTTTCCAGCAACCCACAGAGCAGGGGGTGGACCCAGCCTGCTGGCCCGCAGTGCCCGGGGCGCATTCTAAATGCGCGTGTGTGGGCATGTGGCAGGGTGTGCCCTCCGGGCCCAGAGGGTGAGCACCTGTGCGTGTGTGCACACAAGCGTGTGCCGCACGGGCATCGGGCTCCTGTGCAAAATGGAGGCCCCCCCTCCTCCCCGGGGGCCATGGTGAGGCTGGAGACAACTATAAGGCCTTCTCTGCCCCCCCAGTGCTTCAGGGCGACGCGCCCCAAGCAGGGTGGGGTCAGATGACCCAGTGTGTGGGCCCCCGAGAGGATGGTCAGCTGCTCCCTTTCCTGTCTCAGCCGATCATCTCTCTCAGTAGTTTGTCTGATTTAATCCAAATCTCTTTATTCTGCTCTCAGGCTGTACAGCTTCTCCCAGAGTTCATGGTTTTCAAACCACGGTGGTTCTAGAACACTGGACCTCTGTTCAAAGCAAATCATACCTGAGGGTTCCCGGGTAGCACGGTTTGAAAACTAGTGAGGTGGAAGAAACCATTCTTTCTGGCATTTCCTGATAGAACTCCTACTGGTCCTATACAGAAGGCAGCCTGCCCTTTGGAGTGAGGACTCCCAGCCCCTGGGGCCTGTGAGCCTTCAGGCTATTTTCCCTCTGGGGGGGCGGTCCAGCCTCAGTGCCTCTCCCACCAGGAAGCCTTCCCAGAGAGGGGAACCTGAGGGAAACAAAGCCACCCCCACTGGGTCCACTCTGGGCCAGCTCACTGGACTTGCCCGGGCAGCCTCACCTACCAGACTTTGAAGTCAGGACCCCACGATCTGAGGAAAGTTTATTTATCTTGGGTTTCCCAGGAAAGCCCTGATTTCTCATATCCCAAACTCAGGACCTACAGGCCTGGGCAGGTTATAAATGTGCGGGAGGGATGGGGCCTGGTCTGTTCCACCTGAAGGTCTTCAGTTTTCATTTGAAACACAAAACACCACCGTGACGAAATTAAAACACATCTGAGAGGTGCATTTGGCCTCACACTGCTGCCAGCTTATTAAAACCAACAACCGAAAAGCCACAGAGGTTTCAAGATTCTGGTGTCCAAACCCTGAGACCCCTGGTGTTCTTGCCCCCGGGTTTCAAGACACTCCTCTGTCACACCATGCACTCTGAATCTTGGTGCTGTGAAAGCGGCACTGTATTAAATAAGGATTGTGTCCAGAGCTGACGCCTGTCTATACTATCTAAAACAGCCTCGGATTTTAAGATCAAAACAAAAAACGAACAAAAGATCCCTTCCTCACTTTTCTTACTGCAAAAAGAAAAAAAAAAAAGAGCAAAAGCCGTGCACCAGTATTGAGCAAGGGAATACAGGCATCAGTGGTGGGTTCCCTGCCCCTGAGCCCTGCTAGGAGCCACAGACCAGGCCCGATCAGCCCTGGCTGGGCCCTGCCAGGTCGGCACTGACCTGTGTCCTTCTGTCTCCCCAGCACTGCAGAGAGCGGCCCCGGTCCATGGTGGTCATCGAAGTGTTCACGCCCGTGGTCCAGAGAATCCTCAAGCATAACATGGTGAGTTCCCCTGACCACCCCCTGCCGGCCCCAGACTGCAAAGCCAGTCTTTTCTTTCCCTTTTCGCCAAAGATTTGGGGAAGGGGGTTGGCTGTCCTGGCCTGACCGCCAGGGACTGGGGTTGGGATTCTGTCTAAGTTGGGGTGTTAGCGCAGCCTGTCCTTCTCGGCCATATTTTTTTTTTCTCTTAAGGCAACAAGAAGGATCTTTTCACAGTAAAAATAGCAAAAATAGTGTGTCTGGGGGAGAAGAGAGAAGTTTCCGTGTGTAGAATCAGAAATAAGGTCTACCGATGCTCGGCCCTCAAGAGGGGGAAGTGGAACCCCTCGCTTCCTCAGTGGGGGCTGGGCTGTCCATAATGGTGTCCTTCCTGATGCACAGTGTGGAAGGGGGAGAAGGAGTGATTTTGTGATGGAGAAAGCGGACAGTCACGGCCATGGCCAGGCAGTCAGGGTCATCAGCAGCAGTGACAAGTCATATGAGGGCGTGCACCCTGGCTGTGATGTGAGGGGAAGGGCACCGTGCTGCTGAAGAGCAGCAGTGAAAAACGAGGGCCAGTGTCCGCTGTGCCTTACCGAGCCAGCCCCCAGCCTGGACTCAGGTCCCCTGGGTGACATGGAGGCATCTGTGTGCCGCGGCACTAAATCAGTTGCAGGGTACCCATGACTCCTGCCCCCTGGCCTGTCAAGACTTAGCATGTGAAAACAACTGTGGAAAGGGGCAACCCACAGTTCACAAGTAGCCTTCCTGTCTCCACACCGTGTCCCTAACCCCAATCCGGACGGCAGCGTAGGGCACAGGTGCGGTTCCTCATCCCGCACCCGCGGCAGACATCATTAATCGATTACAGCACTCTTCCCGCAGAGCCCAGAGGTAGCTTCAGAATCTATCCCAACACAACATTCCCGGCAGACACTGGCAACTGAACTGTGCTGGCACGGTGTGAATTCTGTTCACCATTTTCTGCCCTGAGCAATCACATACCATAATTGAATTGTTGCTTATTTCTGAGATCCTCCTTGATTTGAGATAAATGCACTTCTAGTTTTCCGAACCCAGGGGAGAGAGATACTCCGTCCAGTTCTTTCTCCAGGACCAACAGAGAAATCTCCATGTTGGTGGGGGGCCGGGGGGAGCATGGGTTTCTGCCCTGATTGGGGCTTTTATGGTTTCAAGGGCACTCTCTAACTTCAAGCTTCTGAGAGGAAAGGATTTCTGATTGTTAACTTTAAAATCACCGTGCATGTGGCGTGAGGTGAGGGTTGCACCCCTTCAGAATCCAGAGCAGAGGTTCTGGGGTTTCCTTTGCGAAGGACCTCTCTTTCACAACTTGTCAGTGACAGCCAAACCCCCAGGGCATACTTGTCTGGGCCCATGCCTTCTCGGGACGTAAACATTTCTGCGTGTTCCACGGTAGTCAGTAGTCTGTTTAATAAGAGTTCTTATGGGACATCCGACTTCCAAGGGGAAAAAGTCAAAATTCAGGCAGCCTCCCACAGCTTAATCATACAATGTCTCCCTTATATTTGGTTAGTTATGGGCTTAGAGTGTTGACCATGTAATAATTTTCTGGATAAGATTCAGAATAGCTCCAGGGCAAATCCAGAATTTATAGCATCTGTTGTGGCCTGGCAGAGATCAGGGACCTTCGGGCATGAATCCTCACTTCAGTTTTTACAAACTCCCCAAGGGATCCTCGCGTCTGGGGATGCCATAAAGCTTTGCAGGCCCGCTCTGCTCTCGGTATCTGCTAATTACATGCTCTGAACTCTGTCAGAAGAGAACTATAGACAGGACAGAGAGGGGGTTCTCTTTCTGCAGAAGAACAGATGTGTGGTGAACAGTGATCGTGGCTAATGCTAGGCATGGGAAGTATGGTGGGCCTTTCAGGCCCCTTTAATGCTCCCGGAAGCTGATTTACTAGCCATGGGCCAGATGCTCGGCTGGAGCTGGGGCTCTCGGCTGGTGTGGGGCGTCTCGTCGCTGGCCTGCCACCAGCCACGTGTCTGTCAGCATAGCATGAGCAGTGACTTCTCTTCACCCCATCAAGGAGGCATTTGAACACTGGGGAAATGGAGAAAACCATACACCACAGAGGTGTTCTGGGATCTCGGGGCTTCCCTTATCCTCAGAGCGCATCTTCCGCAGATATATCACACGCCCCGTTTCATGGAGGCGTAAACTGAACCTTAGAGAAGAGTCTTAGAGTGTTACTCACTGGACTGAGATAAAAATTAGATACAAATGGAAGCAGTCCTCTAGAATGTTCTCCTAGAGATTCTAAACCTGTTAAACTGTATCCTCAAGAATGAAGGTGGTCCCTGTGCCCACATGCCATTCGTTGGAGTGTTCTTGTGGCAAGGGAAGCAAGATGTGGCTGTGGTCCCTAGTGGACCACTGAGTGACCAGACCAGATTCCAAGAGGAACATTTTTGGCTTTTCCGTAGAGGTAAAATGTCACTCACCCATATGTCGAAAGGCCATCAGACCCTTCTGTAAGGTTTATTTCCAAGAAAATGACCTTGACATCTACTCTCGAAGATAAGGACAGTTACCTTTAGCAGGGTTGGGTTGAAGCAGTGTTCCTAGACTCATAAGCCCTCAGAAGTGGAAGTGGGCGTAGAGATGGGTTATTACAACCCTCAGAGACGATCACGTCCTGAGAGGGGTGGGTCAGCCCAAGGCCACACAGCTTTCCTGTCACCCTTTTCCAGGGCGTCAGGGGACTTTAGACGTCTTCCTCAATTTGGAAGCACGGTCAAGCTCCAGTCTTCTCTTCGCTCAGGGGCCTCATCTAGCCCGATACCCTGTGTGTGTGCCTGGGACTGTGTGTGTGTGTGTATGTGTGTGTGTGTGTGTGTGCCTGTGTGTGTATGTGTTTGCACACGAGTGTGTATGTTCCTTCGGATCTTTCCCCGTGGTTCCTTCTGCCCTCCTCGTGTAAGGGCACAATTGTGTAGGAGAATGGCAGAAGATGAACCCCCACATTGTCCTGAGGACCCTAATTCAGCCTCTTTATTCCAGGTGAAGACGCAGCCCTAGAAGCTTCCTCGTGTGGGCTGGCGGGGAGGGCGTGGGAGGGACGTGTTCTACTCGGAGCTTTCAGGAGGGCCGGCGGGATCAGTTGGATCTGTGAAGACAGTCTCGCTGTTTTACCTGAAATTAGACGCTGATCCAGTGACGTCTTATTGAACGGGTTCCACCGAGCGGGGGTAGGAGGAGGGCGGAGGAGTTTGGAGATGTGACTCTTCCCTCGGATGTCTTCCCGGTCACCCTCGTCACCACATCGA